TATAATTTTTTTTAACTCTGTAGAACAAAGAAGTGAAAGTATGTGCCAGGTTCATTGTACTAATTTTAATCATGACACCAGGCCCATACAGGTTTGACTATTGTCAAATTTACTATTGACAGTTATTTTGGATGTTGTAGGACTGCAGATATACAGAATCATACAGTATATAAGGTTTACTGTGGTGAATTCAAACTAGTGCGCTGAAATTATGTATGTAGTTCATAAAAACTGCATTTTAAAATTTTATGTGAGGAGATTTACACAGTATCTCCTGTGACACAGAACTACAGAGGTTTTCAGGATGAAACCTGTTTAAACTCTGAACGTATAAAAAGAGAGTAGAGAGTACTTACTGGTTATAGGATCAGGAAAAATTAAACAAATTCCAGGTATCGTTATACATTTAAGAAGTGTTAATATGTAACACCTACTAGATGAGTTGCATCATTTATAAGGAGAAGAATTAGATGGAAATCATTGGAATGCAGGTGCAAGTAAGACTTTGTAGGACAAGGCTTTCTTTATGCTTCCTTATGGTTCATGTCAGGGTTTATTCCTGTCTGACAAATAGCCCACACAGCTGTTTGCTCATTTCCTGCCTCTCTCCAACAGCGATGGCATCAGGGAGAGAATCAGAGGTAAAATTGAGAAAACTCATGGGTTGAGATTAAGACAGCTTAATAGCTAAAGTAAAATCTGTGCATATAAAGAAAGCAAAACAAGGAATTCATTTCATTCACCCCTCCCCATGGTCAGGCAGGTGTTCAGCCATTCCCAGGAAAGCAGGGATCCATCACATGTGACAAAATCACATTTTGTCATCACATGCCTCGGGAAGACAAACGCCATCCCTGCAAACCTTCCCCTTTCTTTTCCTTTAACCAGCTTTATATCCTAAACATGACACCATAAGGTCTGGAATGTCCCTTTGGTCACTTGGGGTCAGCTCTCCCAGCTGTGTCCCCTTCCAACTCCATGTGCTCCCCCAGCTCACTCACTGGTGGGGCAGGGGGAGAGGCTGGGGAGGCCTTGGCTCTGTGTAAGTAAAAGGCCTGCTCAGCAGTAACTAAAACATTTCTGTCTTCCCAACACGGCTCCCAGCATAAATGCAAAACACAGCTTCATATCAGCTACCATGAGGAAAATTAACACTACCCCAGCCAAAACCAACACAAATCAGGAGTAAATTTTTTCCTATGTGACTGCACCCTCTCTTTAGCATTTGGGAAAAAAATCCTACAAGTTCAATTAATTGTTAGAAACATGCACTAAATCTCACAAGAATGGATTATCCGTAGTTGCCAAATGTTGAAAAAAATGCAAAATGAGACAATTCTACATTTCTAGCTAATGCTTTTATCCATTTATGCTTAATTACTGATCCATGGCAAGAGAAGAAATTATTGCATTGCTGTGAGCCTTCTTTTGACTTGGCAATATCCCCTAGAGGATTCTATCCATGATTTTCTCTTGTGAAGCCATGCAGATTCTCCTATCCAATATTTTCTCTGGTGAACCAATGCAGTTTCCTGCATTTTTTGTTAGTGTATGCACAACAGATATGACAAGTAAGACATGTAGCAGAAGTAAACTCAGGAATAAAATTTAAAATATCCACAAAATTTAGGAGAAGAAAATGGCATTTTGGACTAAATTACAGACTTGAGTCAAGCAAGGAAAAATCTAGCTATACTAGAAAATGAATGAATCTTAGAAGCAAGATGACTAATTTTACTCCTTCTTTGGGAAAGAAAGTCTTTACAGCCTACCTAAGAAAATAAGCAAGAACACTAGAATCACAATTGATTTAGAGAGGGTGGGAAGTATAATGATAAATACCATGTTCAAATTTCCTGTTCCTTTTGCACTTCATCTCATTCAATAGTCAAGCAATAGATAGTAGTTGTTGCTTGCTCAGATATTTCAAGATTCAAAGAGGCAGATGTTATAGTTCCTCTTTGCAGCTATGACCAAGTATAGCACTATTCCAATTATTTTTAGCAGAAAACCCACAAACATATATGATGCTGATTCCATTTTTTTAAGCATAGATTGAAAAGAGTGATGTTTGAAATTTAAATAATCAGTGATGTTGGGAATTTAAATAAAAAGAGAGAATTTTGACTGTAGTTTGAATTTCCTTAACTTTTTTTTTCTGGTCAGAAGTTGATTGTTATGTGTTGAAGAATACATAAAAAGTCCTTCCATGAACTAACAGTCATAAAGCATAAAGAAAGATGTTTCAAAAATCTTCACTGGATGATTATGCAAGCATTAGCAACACCAAGACTTTTATCTCCATTAGAAAAACCTGTCTCAAATCTTGCAAAATAACCTTAATGTTCACACGGATGGGTATAAAGTCTCATGGGAAATATTTAAGTTTATAAGAAACCTACAGAGAGGACACTGTCCCTAAATTGTCAGAAAAAAAATGGCTAACAAATTCAGATCCAATGGCAAATGTTAAGATTTCCACCCATCTGCTTACACATGAAACTGCTCTTTTTCTCCACTGTCTTCACATAAACCTGAATAACCTAGCAAATGCATCTGTAAAGGAATGTAGACAACTGTCTTACTGCAGGGGCTCTCTCTGGACCTGGATCATGCTTGTATACACCTGTACCTGTGATTTTAGACCCTGCCAAAAAGGAAATATGTTAACTTGTGCTCAGTGCTACACCAACATGAACTAACTACCCACTGGATCAGGTCACAAATGGAAAAAATTGTCTACATAAAAACCTTTAAGAACAAACATAAAAGTATGCAATTATTCTCCAGAAGGCAGCAGTTAAAAAAAGAGTTTTTTCTTCTAGCATGCTTATTGGCCAAAATATGTTGAGGGTATAAAACACAGTTCTGAAGCAACTTAGGAGCTTCCCATCTTCTCACTTTAGATTTCACAAGATGCTGCAGTTCCTCTCATGGCTATTGCAAATGCTCCAGGGACCTCTGGTCCCAGAGATATGGTGGTTGAGCAGACTGAGGCTTCCATTAAATATGGTACTATTCCTCCATGGAGAAAAAATTTGACTGACCACAGACTCTTTCCTGGAGAAACTTTTCCAGTCAGACCAATCCATTACAGAATCAATCAACAATTCAGTGCCTTTTTATACTCTAGTTTTAACAAGGTCTCTTCCACCTTTCTTTATGCTTTGTCATGCTCTGCTGTGCTATTCTCTACTAACAGCAAGCACTCTTGTTAGTAATGCATAATAATTTTTTTATTCCTGTTAAAAATCAAAAATGGACAATGGGACAATGAAAGGGATTTGCTGAAACAAAAATATTCCAATAATATTAATAGCTGCTCAGGATCCAGCTGCTGAGATTACAGGTTAAAATTCCCATTTCTCAGGTGAAGCTGTGTAGTGAGAGAAGGTAGGTGACTGGATTACACTGAAAAAATGCATACAATTAAAATAAGACCACTATTTATCAGCAATTAGCTCTATTAACTCTGGAGTGATTGTCGTATGTATTTCAATAACTTTGTTTCATTTGTTTGAAATTCAAAGATATCTCATAAGTCCTTGATAGGTTGTTTAAAAAATGATAGAAAAACTAAGCAAAAATGGTCCATTTTCATGAGGCTCTACCCTTCAGAGATATATAAATGACAGAACCCAAATTGTAATTTGATAGAAGTATTGGCTTTTGTATTCTTCTTCCTTTGTATCTTGTACTTATCAACTGCCAGTCCCACCTCATTCTCCTTCAAATACTTGAGGAATCTGGATGTGTCTGAGATCAAGAGAAAGTAAAGTCAGGAGGATTCTTCATTTTTTTTCCCTGTACTAGCCCTAAAAAAACTTTTAGCCTCTATGAAAAGAGATGAATTTTTTTATCTCTGAAAGTTAAAAGGGCACATACTGGGGAGGAAAAAATGGAAGCTTTATAAAGACTTCAGTATCAGTTCTAAGTTTGTATTGTGGGCACTGCTTTTCCCCTAACTGTCAGGATTTCAGATTTATTTTAAAATAATTTTTCCACATATTTGTATTCTTTTTAAAATTTGGAGCATTATAAATTCACCAACTCAGTGCAATGATCAAGTTCTTTGTTTTATTAGCAAGTTTATTCTAGAAAAGTTATTTTTTATTTTCAGGTAGGACTTTCATAGTTTTCCATGGCAAGTTTAGTAGTGTCATATGCAAAATGGATACTCTGTAATATTGAGCAGGAAAGGTGGTTTCTAGCAAGTGGCACTAGATCCATCTGCCAAGGAACAGCCATTCCAAAGTTTTTGCTTTCGTATGGCTTCCTCTGGGAACAGACCTACTTTATATAGAGCCCTATTCTACTTGCAGGCACATATGTTATTTTAAATAGTGTCATATAATCACTTGGAAATGAGTCTTCTGGCATGGGGTTAGATGGAAGGAAAAAAAAAGACTCTCTCTTTTTATTCACTCTCCCAGTTTCCCCACTTCCCCATTTCCATGTTTGTTTTCTTCTCCATCCTACACACAAAGGAACAGTGATGACTTATGCTGGGCTACAGATCATTTGTGCATGTATCTAACTTTTTAATGGTCTCTTCCTTTTTGTTCAAGAAAACAAGTGCTGGCTGTGTGTATTTCTCACAAAAATTAAGTGTTTGCAACTGGACTGCAATGTAATTTCTTTTCCAGCTAACACACCCAGGGAGCATGGTGCCTCCTGTACAGTCTCTGGAAATTCATGAACATGCATCAGGAAATGCTTGAGACTCAAAATTAAAAGCATTTGTAGTTGATGTGACCTAACAAATCTGCAGGTGCCAGCACAAAGTATGCAGCTAGGCTGTCAGAAGTAGCCAGCTCCTGCAATTAAAGAGCAAGTAGTCTCATTAATCAAGTAAGGTAGAAAGACATTAATCTTTATAAAATAATTTTTAACTTACATATAATTTACCTAAAATCTTCTTGTATGTTTATGCCATGAGTGGACTTTGCATCATACATTGGCTCTGTGAGTAGCTGAAAAGATTTTTTTTTCTCTTTTAGGAGGTATCAAGTAAAGAAAGTGGTAGAAAACTGCTGGCAAGATTATGGACAGAGGATGAAAGAAGCAGCACCTGGGGTTCAAAACTCTCTGTAGTTATGTGGTGGGCAGGAGGAAGAGCAGAGTTAAAGCTTTCAAATCCTGAATGGTCAGGCCCACCACATGGGTAGTATCTCCTTCCCTGCTGGAGCTTCATGACCCTGATGTATGCATTTCTGTGTGTGCCCAAGGGGCACTAATTAAAGACATCCAACTAATTTGTGGTTATTGTTTCTAAATTAAAGACATACCTGGTTTATATAGAACCATATCTTTTCACCCTTACACAGAGTTTTCAATACCTTGTGGACGACTGGCAGTATAAGCAGTTAATTAATGCAAACAGTGTGGCTCTGGGTGACAGTGCTAAAATATTATTTCTACTAAGTAGAACTACATTAGGTGCAATCTAGTACCATGATGAAGATCCAGAGGATGTGGGAAGCCTTTCATGATTCCAAACATAATGGCTCAGCTGCTCAGTGTAGGCAGAAGCATGGTATGTGCAGAGGCTGCTAAGCTATGCAGTCATCATAAAGGAAGAAGACCATAATGGAAGTTGTGAAAAATCCAAGAAATTGGTTTTTTTTCATACATTAGGAGATGCAAAAGCACATTTTGTATTTGCAGAACATTCTTCTTGAACACTGCAGGAACTCCACTTATAAAATATTTAAGCCACTATGCTTATTCCTGAGAAGATAAGAAAGAAAATATCCTTTTCTAATCCTAAAATGAAATGTTCTTTAGAAAACTAGGCTAGGAAGAAGTATCAGAGAAAGAGCAAACAGGATAATTTCATTATACCTGGTGACCTCCAAACAGATACAGTCTGAGAAATAACACATACAAGGAAAGAAACTTTGTCTTAATTCTTAATTAAGACAAAATTCTGAAACAAATAGGATGAAAAAGGTATGATGAGGGATACAAATATTGAATTAAAAATTGCTGCTGAGATTGTGTATACCACTAGCAAGTATGCTAATGCATAATAGAAGTATTTGCCTCTTTTATAACATCTTTATTTTTCTCCAATTTTGACAGTCTTTGTGGTTGTGCAGTACCACCATCTAGATCATCCATTTCCATTTCCTTCTGAAAAGCCACAAATTTCCACAGAGTGGAGATGAAGGGAGCAGACCGTTGTTGTTGCAGTGTGAGTCAAAATAGTAATTTTAAAATGCAATAAATTTACAGGGCACTAATTTGTCTTCAGTAGCAAATTGTGTATACCTTTTGTTCTTTTTAAGATCATGTGAGATAGCTTAATCAACCTCAGAAAGAGAATCTGAGCTTAAGCTGAATCAAGCTTAAATAATAAAGTAAAATAGAATGGAAAGTAAAAAAATCTTTGCCTACAGAAAATAAACCTAACAAAAATACCACAGTAAGACCTATGTTCTTGTGATAAAACAAAAAACAAAAAACAGAGGAACCTGGAGGGTAAAAAGTAAACTGATATGATTTAACCATAAGTCATATGAGGTTGCTGTAGCTAAAATATCTCTAGTGAACATAATTGGCTGCAGCTTAAATTACTGCAAGCTATTCTAAATTATGATGATTGAAATTATTATAAATAGCCAGAGATATAAAACAGATTTTTTTCCTTAATAAAACTCAAGAGTTTGGAAAAGAGGCAGTGAATTGGCTCAATAACCGAGAATTTAAAGTTTCAAATAAGGAAATTAGGTACTGCTGGGAAGTTAAATTATTTGTTTTCATTCGTTTTCAGGGCAGTAGCTGAAAGTGTAGGTATCTGGAACCTGGCTTCTTCTGAAAGTGAAGACAAAGAGTGAAGCAGGGATTCAAAATCCTACTTGATATTCACATAGATTGCATGAATATTTACTGTTAAATTATTTTATGTGAAGGAGAATAAAAAGCTTAAGCTTGAAATTAAGTGGCAATCGCTATGATGATCAAGTTCTCCTACAGAGCTTTGTGCTTTTCAACTACAGCTGGTTTTTTGTCACCACTGGAAACAGGACATCAGACTTGACAGCTAAGGTGTCACAAAGAAATGCTGGGAGAGGAGAACAAAATGACCCCAAAACCAAACACAAAGTAATTTACCAAACAACTTCCTGGTGTCAAAAATATATTTTGTGTTCAAAATTTCATACTTTAGCACTAAATCCATGTTCTCTAAATCACAACATACCCTCTCCCCTGAGAAAAAAATCGAACTACTGTTCTGGGAAAACTGGATAGTATGAAATACCTTACCTGTAGAACATGGGATTTTTAGATTTATTTTGTGTTGTTTTTGTAGGTCTTTTTCTGCTTTTAGTAAGAATAATTAGCAGAATACAAGTTTATAATGTAAAAAAATCAAAAGAAAGCTCAGTGTGTCGAAGAAACTTAGTAATTGCAGTGGCAGATGGGTTTGCCTGCAAGAGACAACGTTGTTACTTACATGACATTCTCTATATAGATTCTCCTCAAATCATCTGTCCAAGCAAAAATAACTAATTTTTCCCCCTTTTTGGATTACATCAATATGATGCAGCTGCTGCCTCAGCTGGAGAAAGCATAATTCTTCTCAAGTAAGAAATAATTAAGTAAGAATAAGTGCCAAAAGAAGGATCACTTTGAAATTGAAAACTCTGAATATACACAACCCTGACTGTCAGATTATTTTTGGTATTTGAAGTAAAAGTGTGGCTTTTGTATTCTGTCTTTGAACCTGATTAAAATAACCTCTAATGACACATATGCTGTATTCTTAATTACTATTTAAATAAAACTATGAGAATGGTTTTGGGTGAAAAAATGCAACGTTAAAGGGAAAGGTTTTTTTAAGTTAAATTTTATATTGCAAAATTGTGACATTTTGCAAGTAAAAATGGACCTAATTTCTCACTTTGTATGAAAATAACCAGGAATCACTACAATGATGAAGGAAACTACTTTATTGTCTTAAAAGTCTATATTTTTCTCACGTAACACTGTTTTCTGAAAGAAAAAAAAAATAGTCTAAATACTTGGATAGTTTGTTGTTTCAGTCTTTAGTGACCTACAGGATTTCTTCACTCTTGAATTTCTTCACTCAGTAGCTGCCTACAACTCATAAATAAAAACAGAAAAAGAAGTATCATAATCCTCTATCACTTGATGTAAAGGAATTCTCCCATTACTAGTTTGTAGAAAAGTGGCGCTATCATAAGAATTGAGGTGTTATTTCCCTCTACAAAATATAAACCTACACATACACTTTGCAACCCAGACAATTGATGAAATTCACTGCCTTTTGAGAAACTGCAGCAGTTACAGGTCTCAAATCAAACCATCAGATCAGAGCTGCTAACATGGCCAGTGAAGTGACTAAAAGTGGCTTTTGTAATTAACCAGTTTTCCCAGAGAAAAAACAGAAAGAAAAAAATGGTATTAAAAAATAGGCATGAAGAATGGACAAGTTTTTACTTACATTGGCATTGATGTTATATAAGCATACAGAAAATCTGGTCTTCGTAATAATGTCACTCATAATTTTTGTCTGGAAATAGGTTAAAGTAATGAGTTTTTTTGTGAAAATGCCAAATACTTATAATAAATCAATTGGTCACATACATGCCTAATGCTGTTAAAGCTATGGAAAAGCATTTCTTTTTCCTCTTTCCAAATTGTAGTCAAATAGCAGAACTTTTTCTAATGTATTCATTTTCTGAAACAGTCCTTTACCCCCCAAATATAGTGAAGATATTGATGGCTTTCTTGCTAATTGTAGTGAATATTCAGTTGATTTCTCTTATGCTCAAAATCAGTCATTCTTACACTTTTTAGAAATCCGGCACCCAATCATTAAAAGATAGGGCATTCAAAGCTCCAGTGAGACCAGTTGACTGTTTAATATAGAAGTCATTCATTTAAAAATAAAAGGATGCTGGAATAACTAATGACAATCAAAAAGGGATTATGTAACTTTTATTTAACTCTGCCAAACAACCATGATATAAAAAATTTGGATGCCAAAAAACCCCTCAGAAATTTTGACAGATATTGACAAGATATTTTACTTTAATATCACAGTTGTTAAAAAAAGAATTCCACTAAATCAGAGTAGATCATTAAAACTGGATGATAACTACCTACATGCAAAAATAAGAGCAGTTTGCCAATGCATCTTCATAGCTCATATACAATCCTGACAGAGAGATCTGAGTTTTCCTTAATAGTAATCCTATGTTTATAACTAATTTATGGGAGAAAATCAATGTAATCAATGGCAGTTTGTCTAGATTTTCTAGACTGATAAAAAAATTTTAATGCATGTCTGTTTTTACATAGTGGTCTGGAACAATTGCTGGGGTGATCTCCATTGAAAAAATGTTAATTAACAGTAGTAAGTAGAGCTCCATATGTCTAAGAACAATAGACAAAATCCCCCTGTTGAGAGGGGAATTTGATGACAGTACTGAGATCATAGTTGTACTCATAGGTATACTAGGGGAAACTGTCAGAATATTGTCATAATTAGGAAAGTGTTATCTCTGAAATACAAATTGCACAGTATTAAGATGAAGTAGATTGAAAATTTAACCTGTGCATACATTATCCCATTTTGATGTGTAGAATAAAAAAAAAAAAAAAAAAAAAAAAAAAAAAAAAGAGTGAAAAAGTCTCTGAGAAAAACTTAATGAATTATGTCTATCTAAAAATAATTTTTATAGTGTGGAAAATAGTAAAATCAGTGCATGTAATAGGATCAAAAAGGAATTAAGAGGTGATCTGCTGGTGATCTACAAATAACAACAGTATGGGAAGTGACTCAATATCTCTGCTTGCCATGTAAAGTGGTATGAAAACCTGATAAAATCTATCTGGCACATGGTTTAACCTTTCAGACTAGTTTACAAATAGAACATCTCTAGGGATGTGCTAGATTTTAACTTTCAAAAAGTTTTTACATTGAGACTGGATAACTATCCTGTGGATATGCTAAAATTTAAACAGATATTTTTTGTTGAATGCAGGAATTGCTGGGAGAGTTTCTTCAGCCTGTGTTATTTAGGGAGTCAGGCTATTAAAGATCATAATGTTCTCTTTAATTTCAAAATCTATTAAGCTGATTTGATTGAGTCTTTTACTCCCCTGTTATACCTTTTACAGGGAACTAGAATGCTGGGGAAAAGCACAGATTACATCTAACCTTGGGACAGAAAAGCAAAAACAGTTGATTCAGAAAGCCTTGTGATACTTAACAGAATATTT